TTAATGTGGTGCTGAGGAATCGAACCCAGGGCCTCGAGCATGCAAGGCAAGCGCTCTACCACTGAGCCACCTTCCCAGCCCCACCATGTTGGTTTTTGAAGCCTAAGGAAAAGATTGGGAAATCCGGACACAAATTCTCCTTTGCTTTCTGTTCTTCTACTGTCTTTTTCTCCCTATATTTCAGCTGAATTCCCTTCCTTATCAGTGTATTGAAACTCCTAATAAGAGATTGAAACAAAATTTTGAAATTAATGGCAATATACAATTAAATCGTTCACTTCAAATGACTGAATTTTAGAGTCGGTAAATTATATGTCAATAAAATTATTTCCAAGAAGAAGGACATATAGGAAATACAATCTGATTTGACGGGAGATCAATCCTGCTTGTACTTATGTTTATAAGTCTCTAGCTACCCACAGCTAAACATGGGCTGAGCTGACAGGCCTTGAGCTATACATTCATTCACTCACCTTGGAATGGCCATTTTTCTTTCACTTCCTTTCCTGGGCCCAAACAGAAGATGAGTTTAAGGTTGTGACCAGAATTTGGAGACAAGGGAAAGCATATCGTTCTGTGGATGGGCATATTTTCCCCACCACTTTGGCCTCATCTTCTAAGTAACCCTGTGTTTGGAATGTCAGAGGTTAAATTCACTTATCAATGGCTTCCTTTTCTCAGAACTAGGTAGCCAAAAGGTGTGTGGCTACTATCTGTGAGAGATAGCTTGCTTTTCTCTGATTCCCTTTTCTCACAGCCATCACTTTCTCCTTTTTTCCATGAGAGGAACCCATACCAGAGCCCAGCTGTGGAATTCCCAATCCAAGCTCAGCAGTTGTCAGCCAGGTGACTCGGGAACCATAAGCAATACTGCCCTGCACTACCTTAGACCTCCACAGGCCACCTGCCCCAGCTCACATACTCACAGCTTTGTATAGGAAATTCACCACTTTATGGCCTCGCATAAAAGTGCCATTCTGAATAAACACAACCACCATCAAATGCTCTTGAATGGTTGGTCTTAAATATCAGTCATGCTTCATCAAAGCCTTAAGGGACCAGTTCTTTGCATGATATTGTCATATAAAGAGGAAGGACCTTAGTGGTACCTTAATGAGGTGATAATGAGGGAAAAATGCTCTGGTTGGGGGTGTGTGTGGTACTTGCTCTGATCTTCAAAATGGGCTTCATCTTACATCAGACTCTGCACTATGGAGGATGAAGGAGGGATGGGGGCAGGGAAATGAAGATGGTTATTGAGTTAGGGTGTGTTTGCCTGTGCGCATGCATGAACCTGGCAAGATTGCACTGTGTTTGGGATTTTTTCAATCTGCCTTTTGTTACTCTTGAAGACCTGCCCATTGTTTTATGAGGTGACTTTTTTTTTAGACAAGCTGTCCTAGTCCTAGAGCAATGCCTGCAAGGAGGAGCTTCTTCTCTAACATCTAGACCTATTTATACTCTTCCTGGTTGTATCATGCTCTTGTTGGTTCACTTTGTTTCCTGAGATATCCTTTGTTACTCTTGAAGACCTGCCATATTTCAAAACCCTTTCTCTTTATATTAACCACTGTGGAGCAATAGGGTGTGAACACCTCCAAATTCACCAAACAGATGTTCTTTATTCTCCCTTCTGCCTTCTTTCCTCTCAGAAACTTGGAAGAACTGGAGAGTTGAGAAAGTTCTTTGAAATGGAAGTAATAAACCATATCCTCTGCTGCGTGACTTCAGCTCTTTAGAGGAAAAGGACGGTATGAGACCAGCACAGCATTATTATCACGCAGAGGGGAGTGCTATTGGTTCCTTCGTTCATTGCCTGAATATTTCCTTGGGAACATCACACTTGGTCTAATGTTTGCATTCTGAATCATGTGTGTTGGGAATCTTCCTTTACTAAAAAGATTCCACAGGTTTCAAACAACAACAAAAAAAATGGTTCCTCTATTCTAAAATTTTCAAAAGCTGTCATATCTTTATTTTTGATCTCTTGCTCCTACTGGTAGTTTACAAATTGATTACATCCATTCAACCACCCCTTCTGTTATCTATCTATCTGTCCATTCATCCATACACTCAACCACCCATTTACTTATGCATCCATTCATTCATTCATGCACCCATCCATCCAACCCCACCTATCCATCTATACATCCACCCATCTGTCCACCTACCTATCCACCTACTTATTCACCCATCCATTCATCTACCTACATCCACCTATACATCCATCCATTTACTTACTCATCTATCCATCCATTCAACCACCCATTCACTCATTCATCTACCCACTCACCTACCCTTCTATCCATCCATCTACCCATCCATGCAATCAACTATCCATTCACTTTCATCCATCCATGCACTCACCCATCCATGCACTCACCCATCCATCCATCCACTCAAACACCGTCCACTCATGCATCCACCCATCCATGCACACATCCATCTACACCTACCCATCTATCTATCCCATCCATCTACCCACCTACCCACCCACCCACCCAGTCATTCACTCATCTATCCACCCATCCATCTATCCATCAATATATCTACTCACTTATTCATCCATCCACCTATCTGTCCACTCATCTATTTATTTACCAAAGATTTACTAAGCTAGGTACTCAACTAGATCTGGGAGAACATAGGCATAGAGACAAAAAAGTCAATAAACCATTACAATATAATGTAAAGTCCAGTGCAGAGTAGATTTAGAAGCACAAAATAGGGGCTGCTGGCTAGAATTAAAGGCACAAGGCAAGTACCCTTATGGAAATGCTATCCTGAGACCCAAAGGATAAGAAAGAGAAAGAAGGAGCAGGACTTTTTCTCAGAAAGAAAAATATCCACAGGTGTTTCTGCTATTCTACTGTGCAGAGTAATTCATCTTGCTGAACCCTGAGTAATCCATCTTAAGTAATGATGGATTTTCATGTAGAAAGTGCATAGTGTTGGACTTGGTAACTTAGGACAATTTTTGTAAACTCTTTTGGGCCTCACTTGCCTTATTTGTAATGTGTACAAAAGAATTCCTGCCCTGCAGAGCTGTTGGAAGGATTACATGTATTATAGCCAAAGCCCCCAGAACATGAGAGACCTTCACAAAAATAGTAGGTCTGGCTGAGGAAAATTATAAAGGACACTCCCAGAAAACTTTAAAAAAAAAAAAAGTAGGGACAAATAAACACACCCAGACATGTCCTAAAGGCTCCTTGGTGATTTTGATATTAACCATGGTTGAGAATTACCACTCTACCCTGCCAAAGCAGGGCCTGTTTTTAGCCATATAGCTGCCACTGTAAGTACATTAAAACCACAACTAAGGGTATAGTAATGATGATTTAAAGTAACTGTTTGACAGAGTTGGAACAGTATGCTGATTGGATGGACCGTCCTCCCTGGGTAACTGAGAAAGGAGTTTGAATCAGTAAAAGTAGAACCACAGAATTTCTCAGGCTCTTAGGAATGATTCCTGTAAAAATTTCTGGCTTGAGTCAGAGTGGAATTTTCATATTTCTCTTGACTGACCACTGAACCCTTTGGTAATTGATCTAGTAAATTAGTAATGTATATCATACAGCAGCTTAAACTTGCAAGAGTTCACAACTGCCTGCTGAAAATAGACATCTGGGCCAAAGAATTTACAGCCAAACATGCAAGAATTCAGACTGCCATCTGCTCAGGAAAAGTCTCAATATTTCAACCTTCACTCTGAAAGTTTAGTTGGTCAAGGTGGAATTCTTAAGAGTATGTTTGTAAACTTTTCTCCAGTGGGGAGTCCAGGCTGTGTGTCTCTTGTTCACTCCTTTGCTGTTTACACAATCCAACACAATGAGGTTCAAGGTTAGATTTGTTAGAGCTTGGGGATATACCCTGCCCTGGAGTTGCTGAGAAAGTCTCTAACTTTCCTTTTTAGAGATAGCTGTGTTACACTGAAAATGGAGGAGAAGAGGAGACTAAGCATTTTTTACGTGGCCTGAGTCATTCCAAAAAGGAAAACAAAAAAATATTACGATTCAACTCTTCCCAACCAGTGCGAGGAATCTTCCTGACATCACTTGGCAGAACCCATTAAGCATATAGATTGCTGTGTACCTGCCCAGTCTTATTCATTGTGAATTTCTGGGCATGAGAACCAAAGCTCTTCCTTCCCAGATGATTTTGTTTTTAATTGTTGGTCCTGAGACTTGAACTCAGGACCTGGGCTCTGTCCCTGAGCCTCTCTGTTCTTAAGGCTAACACTCTACCCCTTGAGCTACAGCACCATTTCTGGCTTTTTTTCTGAATCATTTATTGGAGATAAGAGTCTCACACATAGACTTTCCTGCCCAGGCTTGCTTTGAACCGCGATCCTCAGATCTCAGCCTCCTGAGAAGCTAGGATTACAGGCATGAGCCACTGGTGCCCGGTCCCCAGGTGATTTTTACAATCACATCACTTATGACATAGCAAAAATGTCTTCACTTTTTTCCCCTAAGACAAGGTCTACATTGTACAACCCAGGCTGGCTTTGAACTCTGAATCCTTCCATTTCAGCTTCCCAAGTGCTGAGATTACAGGTATATGATGTGCTATTACACTTGGCAAAAAAAAAAAAATTCTACATTGTCTTTTTAGTACACTTTTTTTGTTGTAATGGAATTCTATTTCTGTGTTTAGATTCTTTTTTATTCAGTGAAGAACAGGAAGAAGAACAAGTTAGGTACATGAAATCTGGAGACTCCCATTTGTTTTCCTTTGTTATTTCTCTCAGACAAATCCTTTATAGAGTTCAATTCTCTTTTCCCTAAATGACAATAATACTTATTATTGTATTGCGTGTTTATGGTTACTATAAAGATTTATTATTATATTTATTTATTATCATTTATTTATGTTGGAGATTAAATCCAAAGCATCCAGCATGCTAGGCAGGTATTTTATCACTGAGCTATAGATGCCCTCCCCCCATCATTTAAAAAGAAGTTATAATTCCTGGATACCTGACCTTAAAGATGAACTAAGAACATGAATGTGAGAATATTTTGAAAACAACAAGAAATACACTTAAAAAAATCATTGCAGTCATTTTATATAGAAAGGATTAACCTTTGTATCTAATATTATTCCTGGCTAAATGCTAAGTAGGCATCTTAATTTGGCTATTTGTTTTTTTTTTTTTCTTTCAAAGGACAGTGGATGCTTCCAGACACAATGAGCCACCTAGCCCTGAGCATGCATAAGATGGGTCAGATGTTATAAAGAGGCAGACAGAGGTCAGAAAGTCCTTCACATATCAATCAAGAATTACATAATTCAGATCTAGAGCAGCTACTAAGAAACAGGGAGAGCAACTTAATACCCTCCCCAAAGCACATTTGTTATTTGACATCCAGGAAGCTAGTTAAGCCAGAGCTTTCTGGAACTTAAGCACTGTCCACTATTCTGACTGCTTGCCTACTGAGATTTTTCTGTTTTTCCTATTTCAGGGAGAAATAAAGGAAAAAAGAAAAAAAGAGAGAGAGAGAGGGAGGGAGGAAAGAAAGATGGAAGGGAGGGAGGGAGGGAGGGGAAACTCCTGGCATTAGAAGAAGCCAGCCTGATGTATTTTGTGACAGATCTTCCTGAATACTCCCTTAGGACCCAGGCCTGCGTCCTTAATAAAGGTAGTTTAGTAGATGTGTAAAAGCCCTCTATTATCTACCTTAAATTTCCATCTGAGAGAAGGCCTTATCCTTCCCAAGATGCATTCTTTAACATGTTCAATGGATAGAGGTTGACCCATATAAGCTGAGTGCTGGTGGCTCAGGTTTGTAATCCTAGCTACTCAGGAGGCTGAGATCTGAGGATCACAGTTCAAAACCAGCATAGGCAGGAAAGTTCATGAAACTCATACCTCCAGTTAACCACCAGAGAACCAGAAGTGGTGCTGTGGCTGGAAGTGGTAAAGCACTAGCCTTGAGCTAAAGAGCTTAGGGACAGCACCCAGACCCTGAGTTCAAGGCTCACAACCAACACAAAAAAAATTTTTTAAAGAGAGATTGAATCATGCATAGTCCTAGGTAGAACTGCGCATATTCAGTTACCTAACATCTCTTCAGTATGATTTCTCTAGCTCAATCCTATAGCGGTGTGGACACCAATTATTTATTTTGAATAGATGTTTTCCAGGCCCAGGGCAGATAGCCAATGATGAACAGAAGTCAAGTCCTTACCTAGCCTCAGCTGAAAATGAGGAAAGGCTGGTGGAGCAGGAAGAGACCAGGAAGAGGGAAGGAGGAGAATGGGATGATTGTCTAAACTCAGAAGAGACCTTGCATTCATTCTGCTCACCCACTCAACTCATCTCACTCATTGCTTCAGCCAGTGCTAGAGCACAGGGGTTGGGGGAAGGGCGCACTGTGCCCTCTGCAGGTGAGAGTTACTGTGCTGGTTTTCAAGCGGCCACATTTACAAGTCTTTCTCTCACTTTGTTGGGGGAGAACAAAAGACTAGAAGACAAACTGAGCTAAAGCCTTGGGAAAGAAAATCCAGTTCCACCAGGCTCTTCCTTGACCTGTTCCCACCCCTTTACCCCTTCTGTAGCAGGTGGGGCAAGCTGAGCCCCTAACCACTGGCTTGGAAAGAAAAATCCTGGTGTCATTTGATCCAGCTCTCCGAGCTGCATTCTCCCAGGAATTAGAAGGAACTTTCCAGGGTGTTAACCCTTTTCGGTCACAAATAGAGGCTACTAGGCACTAAGAGGGCACATTGGAACATGAAAAGATGACAATGAAGCGGTGATGCTGATGACGCTGATGACAAGGACAATGAGGATCACTGGCTCCAGTGGAGATTTCACTCTGTGGCAGGCAACTAAACTGTCAGTGGTACAAGGTAGTGAGTGTCATTATCTCTATTTTTCAGATAAGGAATCTGAGGTCAGGAAAGTCAAGTATTTTGCCCAGTCCCACAACTAGAAGGTAGAATTACTGAGCCAGTGTTTGTTTATCTTCTCTCTCTGCTCCTTCAGTACTGTTTGGGATGGTGAAATGATACAGGTTCATATCTATTTAAAAAGTCCCACGATACACTTGCTTTATATTCTTGTATGTCAGATGACCAGGAGGATATTCACAGAGCATAGATGGTCTCTGGGGTCTGATTAGACTTTGTTGGTCTTGGTCAAGATCTTTGTTTTCAGTTACTGCCTAGTAGGGCAGAGCAGGAAGAACATGAGGATTCATTTGGCCTGAGTCCTAAGAAGACCCAAGGACCAGATACCTGGTTTCATTGCTGCAGACCCAGCAATGAAAGCTCCCAATGGGTAAGCACAGGCAGATGGTGATGTGGAGCAAAGGGCAGACAAGAACAAAAACAAGACATAGGAAGGAGGGCTGGGAAGGTGGCTCAGTGGTAGAGTCTTTGTCTTGCATGCATGAGGCCCTGGGTTTGATTCCTTAGCACCACATAAGCAGAAAAAGTTGGAAGTGGTGCTATGGCTCAAGTGGTGGAGCACTAGCCTTGAGTTAAAGGGCTGAGAGACAGTGCCCAGGCCCAGAGTTCAAGCCCCACAACTGAAAAACACACACAGTGGAAATAAGAGAGATCCAAGAGTCTTCCAGTCCTATTATTTTTGAAATAGGGTCTTATTTCCTGCGGACCATGTCCGCCTATTTTAGGCTTCCTGTAGTTGCCGGGATGAGAGGAGTATCACTGAATTTCCTACCAGGGCTAACCTGGAACCAGGACCCTTCCCACTTCCCCCTCCTGAGTAGCTAGGATTATGGCACCTGGCCTAGACCCCATAACTTGATGAAAAGTTTCAGTAAGATTGAGTGTAAGTTTTGGGATTCTGTTGCACAGCAAGGTGGTATGTCCTTAATAATAGTGCATAATCGATTTGAAAATAACTACGAGACAGGATTTTAAAATCTTCTTACTAGAAAAATGATAAATACTTGAGATGTCAACCGCTGATCCTTCTTCAATGGATAGAATATATATTTTATATTCTCTCATGTGTTCATATAATGATTACCATAGAGCATATAATGTATGGTACATCCTATAATATAACACACATATATAACATTGTCTGTCAATTAAAAATAAAACAAAGAGCTAGGCCCTGCTGGCTCATGCTTGTGAGCTGCTTAGGAGGCTGAGATCTGAGGATCACTGTTTGAACCCAGACTAGGCAGAAAAGTCTGTGAGACTCTTCAATAACTACTCAGAAAAAGCTGGAAATGATGCTCTGACTCAAGTGGCAGAGTGCTAGCCTCGAGCACAAAGAAACTAAGGGACAGAGCTCAGGTCCTGAGGTCAAGCTCCAGAACCAGAAAAAAAAATTAGAAGAAGGAAGGAAGGAGGAAAGGTAGGAAAGAATGAAGGAAGGAAGGAGAGGAAAGAAAGGAAGGAGGGAAGGAAGGAAATCACAGGGGCCAGAAACTAAGATGATCCTATAGCCATCTTTTCTGAACTATCCAGAACTGGGATTAGAATATTGATAGAATAGACTTTATATGTAGCAGAATTTATGTCTATTTTACCACACACACACACACACACACACACACACACACACACACATTGAAGAAACATGAAGTCAGACTTCCCTGGCCCCGTTCTCTCCCCTGGCAATGGAGCCTGAGGTCTGTGGGGAGCAGCTAAGTGTGGGTTTGGTTTGCTATACCTTCCGTTCTCAGGGCCCTGCTAGGGACTGACATAACATACAGAGGATCTCATACATTTGTGGAATGGCAAAAAGCCTGTGGATCCCCAAGCCTGGATTCCGGGGCCTCTGGGGATGGCTTTGTTCCCCCTGGGGCAGGCCAGATGTGGACTTGAAGCTCCAGGCTACAGTAGCTGACCTGAGAGCAATGTGGGAGCTGCGGCTGCGCGTTGGGCCCCTCCCGCCTCCCTCCCACAGACTTGCTTACACACGCCCGCGTCTCCCATCCTACCTCTCCACTGAGCAAACCAGGTAGTTTCTTTTTGCTCCGAAGGAGCTGGGGGAGACTTGGAAAACTGGCACAAATGTGGGATTCATGATTAGCGTCCAGTGGAGCCGGCCAGCCTTCAGTTCCTTTGTCAGGCAGAGACCGCCAACCTGTCGTGACTTTGCACGGGGATTAACAAACACGCTTTGCTGGGGCGCAGGGATTGCTGCGCAGGGCAAAGGAATCCAGGCTCAGGAAGCATAAACCCTAATTAGGGAGAAGAGGAAAATGGGCAAAGTCTGCAGTGGGATGGGAAGGATTTCCAGGAAGGACCTGGAGGAAGAAACACAAAGGTTAATAACCAGGTTTGCTGTGGGATTAAAACTCCAAGGCACCTTTTACCAAAGTCTGAAGAACTGCACATCTCTATGGAGAAGCAACAGAGATGCAGCCAAGGAGAAGAGAGTGAGGGTCTGAATGATGTGTGTGTGTGTGTGTGTGTGTGTGTGTGTGTGTGTGTTAGTTTCCTCTGGCCATCAAGTGAGATGTGTGGACCCTTCTCAGAGTTTATATTTTGTTTAAAATGCATTAAACAAAACACATATGAGAGACTAGCACAAAGAGAGCATTCCAGAGATCCAGAGAGAGTCTTGACCTCTCATGAGAGCTTTTGGTGAGGTAAAACCAGAAGGATTACCCAGAAGAGTCTGGATACCTACAGTTGCTGGAGCTCACAGAGCAGAAGGGAAGTGTCAGGAAACCTTAGCTCTCTTACTGGAATCTAAGGTCCTTCCCCAATACTCACCACTCTACCTAATACCAGATTCTTAGGAGACAAACCTTAGGGAAAGAAAAGGAGCTAGTCAAGGCCAGCCCTGAGGACAATAGAAGAGACTTATCCATCTCAGATCTTTAGAGGAAGGGGATCTCTGAAGGTATGAAAGGCTATAATGGGATCCAAAAGGGTACCAGTAAGAAGATAGGCTAGGGCAGGCGAGAGTGGCTTACACCTCTAATCCTAGCTACTCAGGAGGCTGGGATCTAAGGATCCTGATTTGAAGCCAGCCTGGACAGCAAAATCCATGAGATTCATATCTGCAATTAACCACCAAAAAGCTGGAAATGGAGCT